TATTGCACAGTTGCATTCATATCCTTTCTACTTAAGTGAGCATAGGCTAATGCTTGTGTTATTTGTTTTATAAGGCTGAATTTTCTGCTACTTTTTTTGCGTACAGGAAAGCTGGCTTGGATTGCATTTCACTGAACTTGGCTAGTTAAGTATTATTACATGTAGATAGGATTGGAAATGAACAAAATAATTAACAAATAGTTCGATAATTGTTCGAATAACCATTCGATCATATTGGATTCGGTAGTTCATTTACCATAAACAAATATTTTTTTAGTATTTGAGTTTACTAACGAATAGAATTTAACCAAATGTATATTTGTATCAAATATTCATTTTAAAATTTGATCACTTACTATTTGTATTATTGCACGTATGAGATCATACTTTTAACACACTATTTCTACTTAAGTTTTATGTATTGATTTAAATAAATGTTTTAAGACTTAAATAATCTTAAATTTGTTTTTAAATAAAAATTTTGATTTAAATAAATAAATAAATATACACACACGCATCCACACACATCATATATTATAAAGGAATAATTTTTATTTATGAATTTAAATACTATTTAAAATCAAATCCTTTAGCGGAATAAATATAATTTGATATTCGATAAGCATTCATAAATATTCATGAATATTTATCAAATACCAAGTCTTCGAATTTGAATTCGAAAAACTTCATATATGAATATTAGAGTCCGCATTGGAATTTGATAATTTTAAACAAATACAAATACAAACACATTTGTATTCGATTCGATCATTTACCACCCCTACATGTGGATGAAATCATATAAGGAGTTTTAAGTAAACATCTCATACGGAAAAAGTAGAAGGCGACGAACAACCTTTTTAGTGATCTCAAAGCCAACATGAGGCGAGAAGTAACAAATCGATGTTTTTAATTTTGCTAAATAACAAGTGTACATATAATCATAAATATATATAACAAGTATAGATACATGATACAATGAAATCATTGTATTTGCACAAGAACACTTCGGTTTTATATTGTATTGACAATGGTTAGGTGAATATCTGCAATAGTTTGCTTAGCATTTCCAATAGTTTCATGGGTACATGCATTGTTTTTTTACTTTACATACACACTAGTTTATGTTACAGACACATTGGTTATTTAATGGAATTTAAACATCTGTAAAGTTATTTTTAGCTTATGTATAGAATTTCTATGTGGTTTTCCCAGCATTTCCCCATATTTTACTCCAACTGAGTCGTAGAGAAGGCACTTCTCGGCGACATTTGTTCTCTTGATCATGAAAACCGAATAGTGATGTAGAAATCCTAGAGGGCATACAACGTTCCTATTTGGCCAAAAAAATTTTGTTCTAAATTCTTGCTGAAGTTTGTAGGTTAACATCAAGTGACCCCAAAAGGGGAACTCTACACTTGCTGAACACAATTGTAACATTTAGCTGATCTTGCGTGAAATTATCTAATAGGAGATGATAAATGGATGCACATAAGCATGCATAATGCTTTCGTTAAGAGCCATGATCTCTGTTCATGGCAGCCCTGCTTCATTAACTCTTGTATTATGGGCTATGATAAATTGTTTGCCTGTTGCAATCTGATAAACTCATGAACTCTCATATGTTCCCCAGTTATTTTACTTGCCTTATGGGTATTTTAGTTAACAGCATTTCCTTTTTCATTTAGCTACAATCCTGAAATGTGTCTTCTATTAATGGTTGGATAGTAGTTGAGGGATTGGAGTGTAATGTTTTTTTTAAAGCCGCACGCACTACGATATGCTGCAAAAGTCAGGGCTGTTTGGATGCCTTTAGGAAACTAGAGTATTTATGTCACAAAATAGAAAGTGGTTATCCACCTCACCACTTTCCATTAGAGTGTTTACATTGTTTGGTTAGGAATCTTTGTGAATCCTAAAATAATAGTATTACATTGTTTGGATAATATAATGTAAACTAGAGTATTTATGACACAAAATGGAAAATGGTTATCCACCTCACCACTTTCTACAATGTTTTAACTTTTTTATTATTATTTTGGACACATTTATGACATCGTGTCAGCTTTCCAACAAAATCACTCCTAATTTTGGTGATTTTGCTTTCGGTGACACCTCATCAAAAGGTGTAAGCTTTTCATGTAAAAGAGAATTTAAACAAACAATGTAAAGTGATAAAAGCTGACATTGGGACCCATTCTTTTACACTTTCCATCCTTTTACATGGTAAAAACATACAACCAAACAACCCCTCATTATCAAACTCAGACGGTTGGATGATGTTGTTACTCTATTTAGGGGCTGTTTGGTTCCCTTTTTTTGGTGGTAAAAGTGGGGCAAGCTGCCAAAAATGTCAGCTTTTTGACAGCTTTCCCCCAAAATCATTTCTTAAAAAGGTGATTTTGGGGGAAAGCTGCCAAAAAGCTGACATTTTTGGCAGCTTTCTCCTCTTTTACCATAAAAAAAAACCTATCCAAACTTATTTATTTTGTAGTTGCATGTTGTCAATCCTCTTTAATGTGGAGCATGGGCATCTTAAATGGTTCAGAGTTGTTTTTTTTCTGCTGAAATAAAAGGTTCAGAGCAGTCACTCTCATACTGCTGCTGGTCATGAAAGGTAATGCTATGTGCATCTAACCCTCTTGTTTAGGTGTTGACGATTTGGTTACAATTTGCCTTTTCGTTGACAAATTTAAGCTGTAAATAGTTATATAAATTGATAACAGAAAAGTCTGAACGTGCTCTGTGTTCATATTCATTTAATGTGAATGCATATAGCAGTAGGAAGCGGTCTATATAATGTGGGGATAATGTTAATTACAGAAACCCTCACTATGTGGTTCTGTGATTCGTGCCTAGGTACCGTACTGTCGTTAGTTTATTTTTTTTTCTGTACCTAATAAGGTTTTAAGTTGCCTGTTCAAATTGGCCATATAGAGAGCACATGATCCGTTACAACGTAGATCGTCTTTAACTTGCCGAATTTGCATTTTCTTTATCAAATCAATCGATTAGCATTTAGCAACATCTGTTACTATTACTTCCTAAATTAGGACAATATATTATTGATATGCTCTGCACAAACCTCGCACGTAATTTGACGGGAAGTTATGAAAAAATGTCAAATTGTAGGGTTCTTAGTCTCCGGAAAAAAAAAATATTAGGGAAAACCGGAAGGTAGATGTACACATTTCATATTCGCCTCTGAAGTCAACTCTTACGACGACGTCCGAGCATGCCGCTAACTTCCTAGGCCTTAGTCTGTCTGTGGGCCACTCTATCAAGGCCCACAAAAAAATATGGCCAGCTTTTTAATCCCTCTGTTTCCAAGGTTTTTTGATGTTCTCGGTATGGGCTAAAACCTCGGAATCTTTTCATAGCTTGCATGTAGAAAAAGAGCTTTGCTATAGTGACCCAAAATATGAGGCCAATAGGTGGGACAAGTGAGGTGTCCCCCTCCTATTGGATAACGAGTTTGTCATCATTAATGATGTTCAACTCATTATCCAATAGGACGGAAAACCTCACTTGTCCCACGAAAAATAATGTTTTGATTGCTCATCTACTCCCTTATCCGCTTTAGGTAAACGACTTTTGTAGTTTGCCTCACTATTTTCCTTTCTTGAGAAATGAGAATCGAGCTGAAATGAGCTTTTCTAGTGAGCATGGCAGCAGTTTACCGTTCAGGAAAACGATAAAAGCATGCAAAACAATTTATAGTGCTGAAAAGGATTGGAGAAGTAATTTGTTAAGTACGTAATCCTCAGAATTATGAAAAATCTAGACTTAACAGAAGAAAATTTTAACAAAATTAGTAAATTACTAACAAGCTCATAACTACACAAATGTTTATTTTTTATCTTTTGTCTTAGACTACTTTTTCTTCTGAAAAGAAACAAATTTATCAATAGAAATCACCAATTGCAAGACTAAAAAGGTTTGGACCTTAGTTTTGATTTATGATTTATTTTGATAGGAGTGAACGAGGGTAGAGGAAGGAAGTTAAGGGCCCGTTTGGTTGTATGTTTTTACCATGTAAAATGATGGAAAATATAAAAAAGTGGGTCCCAATGTCAGCTTTCATCACTTTTAATTGTTTGTTTGTAATTGTAAAAATAGTGTAAAGTGGTTTCATATGCTGATGTGGCTTGTAAAGTGATTTCATAAAAAAAAGACATGATTTTAGGAGAAAGCTGACATTGAAGTCAGGAAAAAGTAATTTTAACCAATATGATCACTTGAGTAGGGATCACTTTTTACACTTTCCAAACAAACAATTAAAGTTTTATTTTGCAAACCAAACAAGTGTTTTATGATTCCAATGGAATAAAAAACAAACAAAGAAAAATGTAAAAGTGAAAATGATGAGGTGGACAACAACTTTTCAAGTTGTGTCATAAATACACAACTTTACCAACAACAACCAAACAGCCCCTAAATGAATTCCCTTTTCCTTTTCTTTACATTGTTCTCGTTCCCTTCTTTCCCTTCTCCTCTATTAAAACTCCCAACCATAGCATTAGAGCTTCAGATATCCCAAACATCTATGAAAAGAATAGATAAATCATACATAAATTATTAAAAATTACAACGCGCATTTAACATTTTTTAAAAAAAATTATTGTGCTTTCCCATAAATTTATAGACGAAAAGTAAAAAAAAAAAAAAAAAACTAATTCAAAAAAACCGTAAACTTCCATGATGAAACGAGATTTATAATAAATTCTAAAATCAACGAAAAACCATTCGGAAATACACCATGATCCAATAAACACGCTCATTATTGCACGATTCCCTCGTGCCCATTGACCTTTTCAAATCCAAACCCATAACAAACAAACAAATTTTCACAAATTAACCAATCAACAAATAACCAACAAAATAACCAAAAAAAAAAAATCTAACAATCACTTTAATGATCATTATCATCAACATTTCCATTCCTTGCATCGATCAAGCTATCAATACAATCAAAACTGCTAACGGTAAATAGAAAAAAGAATTAACCAGAGGCAACTTAGTAAGAGACAGATTTCTTGCCAGGTCGATCCGCGGCCTTGAGAGTTTCATCGATGAGACGACGAGTCTTTCTCCTCATGATATCGAACTTTACGCTCGAGCTCTTCTCTATTTTCACGTACGGCTTCTTCTTCTTTCCCTTTGATCCTCCTTTTTCCTTCAGAGATCTCACTTTTGATTTTATTCGATCCATGAAACTCCCCAGATTCTCTGTCCCCAGCAAACCCATTTCTAATTTTCTCTCCCTCTAAAATATTCTCTTTATATTATGTAGTATTTATACAGTCTCTCTGTTGTCCTTGTTTTGGGTGGGAGTGCAAGTGTAGCGATCTCTTTATACTTGATTTCTGTTGGGATTTTGTAACGGGTGAGGGTGAGTTTTTCTATGCGGGTGGGTTGATCTACGCGTGTAGATGGCGGCGGACGGTGGATTTGGTGAGTGTAAAGAGATTTCTATGCGGGTGCTTTGTGAAATATTTGGATGGTTTTGGTGGGTACAGGGAACAGTAGGTTGTTATTCTTATGATCCCCATCTTATTCTTATCTGTGAACCAAAATGATCGTTATAAGAATAAAATAATAACAATATTCCAAAAATAATACAAATAATATAATGTGTTTCCTTGGTGGCTACGAGCTAAAAAAAACCAAGCAAACATGACTAGTAGAAATACGCGGTGTGGTCATTGTAATAAACCGGGCATTTTACTCCTGTAATTTCTTGACCTTTGGCATTTCAAACTGAAATTGACTTCAGTTTGAAATCATGTGCTAAAAATTACTAGCAAATCATTGTTGATCGTGATGCCATTATTTTACTTGACTTCATCTACGTTAGCCTATGTGACCATGTGTTTGGATAGTCAAAACATTTTGATATTAAATTTACCATGCATGATTAATCCCCTAATACAAACATAAAAAATTAGATGATCAGAGGATGCCTTCACCAGAGAAACACTAGAAGTCGCATTCCACATTTTCCATGGCTTAATAAAAGAATTTCATAACAAACTCTGGTCAAAGCCACCGTCCTTTGCAGAAACTAACAAGAGTTAGATGGCATCATGATTGAGAGCGTATTGTCTCTAGTAATTAAAGAAGAACTCTCGGAGTTGTCGACATCATCAGTTAATAACCTGCATTATCGTTTGAGCATTGAATATGAACAACATATCAGTCGCTTATGAAATTAAAATAATATTATGCGGTCTCGTTATGCCCAAGCAACTTAAAGCCCATATAGTGCAAGTTGGATGTGACTTGGATCAAGATTGAGCCTTACGAGGCCTGTAGAGGAGAATGGCCCAAGCCTGGATATAGGTAAAGCCAGAGCCTAATCCACTGATTCTCGAAATGATCACGCATAAAGGACGGCGGACAGCGGAAGTTGCTTGCCGATTAATGGTTAAGATGGCTAAGTGGAGAACCCACTAGGAGCCCATTTTATGGCAAACGTTTAAAAACTCGTCCTATGAAATAGATGATGAAAATGACTCCAGAAGATTCCTTACGTATGTCGATCGTAAGAAGTTTGAATCAATTCTTAGGTAAATCTGAGTGATGTGTTGTGAATCACAAAAAGAAAACGCTTAAAATTTACTAGTTGTACGCACATAACTATGGATCCTATCAGAATCCAGCACGGTGGGGATTCTGAGAACC